CCCCCCGCCCCATCAAAAAAGCCGTATACCGTCCCGCCATTCTCGCTCGTGTATAATACAAACAACGTCTCTCGATTCTCCTTATTTGTCTCACCCAGTCGTCGCCGCCTCTTTTTGTTTTCTCACGTTAATAATTCTCTCTTTGTGTGTATCGTTAGGAACAGATCACTTTTGCTCGTGTCGTAAAACCGTAACCTTAAGAGTAAACTATATACCTTAAAGTACGCAGCGGTGTACCCCTTAAAAATTTATCTTCTGTTTAACCATGTAAATTTTCTCTTCATGAATCGTCATCAAGCTATTTCATAGCTATTACGATATTAAAAGTATTAGTAGCTTTTTTGTTTTATATAATATTACAGTCCCTAGGTGTCTCCTTAATATGTACACGCTACCCTCGCGCTCCTAGCTACGCTTCTGGTAAGGATCTGGTAGTTAATATAGTCGTGACGGGCTCAATCGTCCGTTCGAGTCCGTTTGCCCCCCAACACCGCGTCGCGGTTCGACCGCCTATTGGCGCGCGGACGCCAGAGGCGGAGTCCCGGGCGTGGCCGGGGGATGTGCGTTGGGGACGGCCACGCCCCGCTGACCTGACCTCGGAACGGACCCGATTGATCGCGGCACGGCCACAGTTATCGTGTAATAGCCCATTACAACGGGAAGGGTAGTTATCGGATAGTACGTTGTGTTTACCATTTCTCTTTCTCCCGTCGACGCACACTCATACGTGCTAATTAGTTATTCGAGCTGAGATATTTAAGAAATCGTCGTACCGTTATGAGAGATGGGTGTCGCCTAGAGTATCGTTTATTACACAAGAAGGAAAAAGGTCCGAGAAAAAGTTCGGTGGCGCGCTATTCGAAAAACGACTATTTACTTCCGGACAGACGCGTGAAAGAAAGAGTTCTTCTCACTTAAGCGGAACACATTCAAAGAAACCCTATTTATCACTAACGATTACTGGGAGTACATGATTATATCATTGTGGTCGATAGTTAGCTTGATAATCGTATTTATCGATCGTTCTCCAAACGAATTCCTCTGGATGCGTGAAAGTGGAATTTGTCCGCAGAATTCTGGCTAAAACCCCGTCAACCGATCGCGCCCCGTCCACGTTCAATCGATCAGTATTCGCCGCGACGGGATCGGGACCGAACCGTCGCCCATTCGGATTCGCAGTAAATTGGTTATAGTTCGGGAGGAATATTCTATAGCAGCCGTGAGAAATTTACAAAACCGCGCGCGGCCACTCCCATCGCCGTCCGGGTGGGCGGAGCCGGGGCTCCGGGGAGGCGTGGCGAGCGCGGCCGCCTCCCAGCGACCGCGAGCAGCGATTTGATGTTGCTCCAACTACATCGGAAGCCGTGTACCATGGAATTCGCGGCAACGTCGAACGCATAGAACCGGAAGCTCGCTTTTCGGTTCCGGTCAAAGGAAAAATTGAATTTCCGCGATCGGTTCGGTCGCGATCCGGCCGGTCGGACTGGGCGCTCTCGCTTCAAACACCAGCGGGCAAGTAGATTCGAACATTTAGGAACGAAAGATGCGTAAATGTTTAATACGTATACCTCGTATATGGCAGATTATTACGGACTAGTGTTTCATTTTTTCATCTCCTATCCCTCCCCCCGCCCCCCAGAAATCTCG